TCTCACTGTTTGCAGTCAAGCATTAGATAGAACCAGAATCATGGGAATGCTTGCCTTAGGCTGGCCACCCGGATGGTGTCCTTTAGACTTATGATGAGCAGTTGGTGCTAGTCACAAGGGACTATTCAATCTGTTGTCTTCAGAGTGACTCATCTGTCCAGATGGTGGTCTAGCAGTAAACATATTTCTTCAGGCTTCTGGCTGCCCCCAGAGCAAGCATCTCAGAGGAACTATATAGCAGCTGTGAACTAGGTAGCAGCTGTGAACTGGGTACCACCTTTTCTGACTTAGCCTCAAATATCATAATACCATTCTACAGCATCCCACAGGTTCACAGAGGCATTATAAGTCCATCCTAGTCTTAACGGAAAGGAAAGAGGATTGCACTTCACCTCTTAAGGGGTTTGGGATGAGTTTTTATATTAGAAGGACATGAAGGATAAGAAATATAATTAATGAAATCTTTGAAAAGTACTATTATTTTGCACATTTGCTTAGATCTTCATGTTTCTAAAGAGAAGCATGAGCATAAGTTACTCTACAGAGTACTAAATAGAGAAGATCCATAGATATTATTTGTCTCTATGAAGGTCATTACTTATAATTGCAAACTGCTTAAGAAGTTAAATAAATTATATTTAAATTAATTTTAAGCTAACTTCATAGTTACTTAAATCATCTACTTAAGATTGTATGAGCAGCAATCAGTCATGTTATCTGGACTTTGTTATTTTTATAGAGCATCTTATTTGAAGCTTATTCTACTTGGCTAACTGATATATCATTTTTAAAATGCTTAATATCTTATTTTCTCTATTGTTTTGTGAATTACTGTAAAATCCATCAATATCTGTAGGAATGATTTTATGAAAATCATATGAAGTTAATATAATTATATGTAATTAAAAACAGTATTTGTTAACTTTGCTTATTTAAGTGGTTAAAAAAAAATAAGATAAAATAATGGGTTCCATAGAATATCACATAGTTTTTTGCATGGTGAAGATTAGTTTTGGTTCAAATGAGCAACTTTTAATCATCAAAATAATATTTAGCTCAAATGTATTTCTATCCAATTGACCCTAGGCTCAGTTGGTTTCAGATGAAGATATACAGGTTTAGAGATGCAAACTTGAATTCTGGTCATCACTAGTTAGTGGTTGAGGTCATTTTAATCCAGATAATTTTGAATACAGATGGATAAATAAAGACTGCTATTTTTTAGATTTGAAAAATACAGCATTTACACCATCATATGGAATTAAATTAACCAGAAACAGCTAGTGAGGGCCTAATTACTTATTGGGATTTTTTGGTGCAGATAATGTGAATGACATATTTGATGGTATCATTTACTTGAGAATTAGAAACAAAATTATGATAATTATAACCAGTTATATCCCAATACTTCTGAAAAAAAGAACTACAACAAAAGTAGGATGTAGAGAGATTTAGTAACAAAATATGGTGGAAAGGATCTCAAAGACATGTTCACAAACTTCCTACCTACGACTGTATTTAAAAATTAATCAGAAAGACACCTGTGTACAAACAGCCAGAGGCCATCAGGAAACTTTTGAGGTAATTCATCCTCTTTTTTTTCCCACAGGTAGAGACATCTGATGAAAAATGATCATTTGTCTTAGTTAACCCCAAACATGCAGAAACAAACAACAAGCAAAAGATCCTAAAATACAGGACAGTACATCATAAGCTTTAGAAGCAGGGAATCAGTGTTATTTGAAGTGGTAGAGATGAGCATTTATAGAGTGGGGAAGGAAATAAGAGGAAGATTTATTTAAAGCACTGTGAGATGGAAGTAGGAAGAAATGCCTGGATGGAGTTTTCCATGAGTGAGAACTCAAACCATCTTGGTTCTTGGGCTACTTTAGCCATCAGGCACCTAGACTAACCCACCTGGCATTTCTGGGTTTCTTTTTCTCTACCTGTGAAAAAAAAAAAAAAGAGGATGTGTTAGCTCAAAACTTTTCTTATTTCTGGGACAACTAAATATTTGTGAATGTTGAAAAATTCATTGATTATTAGGGTCAAAACCAAACCTAACAAAATAACAACAACCTGATGTCTACTCTCATAATTTTTTTTTAAAGAAGGTGTGTATAAAAAAAAAAAAAAAAGGAAATAGTAGTAGCAAGAAATGCTCTCATAAATTGCGGGAGGTACTTTATATTAAAACTAACCAGATTCCCCTTGTTGTTTTTCTTATTTTGATATAGGCCAATAGAAACCTCCTTGTGCATGCTGGAACATTCGGGATCCATAGACTACCCGACATTTTCCCTTTGTGACATTCTAGAAACTCAGCTGTAGTATTTTGCCCGTGGTATTCTGCCCTTAGTTCTTGAACATGCCAGGCAACAGCCCAACACTTGTTAGACTCTTTAAAAATATAACATGATATTGGGTGTAATATCTTTTGGATCTGCCCTTAGTTCTTGAACATGCCAGGCAACAGCCCAACACTTGTTAGACTCTTTAAAAATATAACATGATATTGGGTGTAATATCTTTTGGAGGATGTAGATTTGACAGGAGAAAGTATATGTCATGTTGGAATCCAAGAGAGCAATCTTCTAAACACACTTTGTCACTCTTAGCTAAATGAGTTTTCTCTTGTCATTAAACCTTGTCTGAAAATCATCTGGACAAAGGAATGTATCATATTGCCTTACCTGTCACATTGGGCTGTTTGGAAGAAAATGAAATAACATTGTATTTTTTTGAATAATTACTAAAGCCTCAGAAATATAAAGTATTAATAGTAAAACACTCATATATGAATTATCTCAAAAGGATATGAATTTATTAGTGATTCATACATTAAAATAGCTCTACAGGAACTAAGCAGTAAGAATCACAAGGCTGAAGAAGGCATTTTTTAGTACTAAATCTTCAGAAATAAAGAATTATAATTCATCTCAAGCAATTTCTTTTATTAAAACATTCTGAGATAACAACATAATAAAAATTGCCAGTCATTCGGATATATATCAATCTCTCCCTCTACATCTAATACTATCTTTGCAGTTTGAATCTGAACAAATGTTAAGTGTAACCAGAATTCAAGTGCAACGATGTGGATAAAGTAAAAATAATGGAAATTAAGACTTATTTTTGACTCCACCAAAATGCCCAAGAAATAATATGTGGGCAGTAACTTTATATCTTTATTTGAAATTAAAGGAAATTATATCTTTTCTTGGTTGGATAACAACTAATCATCAAAGATTTGGCAGAAGTGTCCCACCTCTAATTGCATGTAATTAGTAAATTGACATTCTGAAAATGGCAGGGATTATGACTGCATAATGCCATTAAATATCCTCCTACGAGGTAGCTGTTCTGGTAGTTCACTGTTTATGATGGAAAACACTTCACTCTGGCTATTTCTATGGGAACTGTTTCTGTAGTGAGTTCTGTATTTACATGGCATATTGATGTAAGTTCAGAATCACATGAATTTTGATATTGCAATTTATGAAGAGAGTGGTCACTGGATTAGGGACAAGATTATTTTTTCCACTAACAGAACAATGATATCGTGAACAAAAAATTATTTGAAAAAAAAAACTCATAAATACGTGACTTTAGATATATTTTAAGTCATTTCCATGAAAAGCAATGAGGATAGTTGAAGTATGTCTACCATCATGGTTTATGAATGTATTCTAATTAAAACTCAAAATCTGAAAGGAATTTTCCAAACATAGGAGTTATTCTGCCTCATTATAATTTGATTTTTAATTGAAAAGTTTGGATTAAATTATGTTTTCCATGCAACATGGATAATTTCTGGTTTATTCCTACTTTATATTCAGCTGCTAGCAAGTTGATGGTTCCTAGGAGGTACTCAACCACATGCTGTTGAATGAATGAAGACATGTTCTTCAGCACTTCAAGTTACAGATATGATGGAAGATTGCTTCTGTCAAAGACTAAAAAGTATTCCAGATTTATGTTATGCAATCTTAAAATATAGAAATAATCACATTGAGTTAATAGAATGTCAAATTTATATTTATCATCCCACATCGATAAGAAAAAAGCCAAAGGAAGACCAAAGGCCTCATTTAATAATTTTCCATTAGCTTTCATTCCCTTTACTCAAAGTGGCATACATTTTGAATAAAATTGTTTTAGTGACTAGTGAAATTTTTTAATACCATGGACAAATTGCTTACTCAATATATTTATATTTGTAAACTAACAAAAATAACTCATTTAGACCTAAATGTAAAGTTCAAAAGTAAAATTTTATAGCATTACCTTTAGAGAAGTTATACTATTTATTTTGTTTTATTCTAATTAGCTAAAAGTTATACTAAAAGTTATACTATTTATTTTATTTTATTCTAATTAGCCTAACATTGATTGATCATAAAATTTCAACTAAAACTAATATTGTTCTGGTATTACAGTTAAAACTGAAAGAATTGATCTCCAAAAGTGTGGAAAAGTTTTCGAGTTGTTGGAGTAACATTTTTCATGTAGTCAACACACATTGATTACATATTTATATAATTTAAGTTAAAGCATAGCTCGATGACAGTGTTAAATTATCAATAAAAGCTTTACAGTTGATGATATGACTAAAGTATGTTCTTATTGACAGGGTGTTTATTTAGAAATATATAGATTTACACTTCACTCCTACCAAACAAATGTAGTAAAAAACAGTGTACACTGAAAGATTTGAGCCACACCATGAGGAAATACAAAATTTCCCCTTTGCATAAAAGTAAATATGCAGGGAGAATATCATGTTCTTCTTATGACTAGGAAATAAAATTGTTTGACTTCGTTAGAGGATAAAACAAACCTTTTAAACTACAAATGATGTAGTTCTTAGAAGAAAAATAGTTTGCTGGTAAAATTATCATGGCAACATTGGTTTCTGTATAAATCTATTTTTTTGTGTGTGATTCTGTAGTTATGTGTCCCCTTTTACTGACGACACACTCCTTTTATTCCTATGCTAGGTCTAGACAAAGTGCCCAGTGATCTTCCACCTGACACGACACTGCTAGATCTGCAAAACAACAAAATAACGGAAATCAAAAATGACGACTTTAAGAACCTGAAGGACCTTCATGTAAGAGCAATTTGATTTTTTAGTGATAAAGTGGTATGCTTCAAAGTATTTTTTCCAAACGTAAACTATGTAAGGGCAAAACCATTTATGATAATAAATCAGCACTCAACCACATGTTTATTAAATTCTCTTCCTGGCAGTGGTGGGGGAGCAGAGCAGCATGTTAATTAATCAACAAAAAATCATCAAATGTTCCTCTGTATATTTATACATTTTTAGTATTTAATTTATATCTATCACTTTATATCTTAATCCCCTCACAAGTTTTCATGAGTAAATATATGTATTTTCTCAATTAGACTGTACTTAAATAGTAGAACAAAATACAATATAAATTGATTTTTGTATTTTATTTCTTTGTTTCCTTTCATTCATTCATTTTTCTAAGAGAAGTGAGAATAACCTTGTAAATTCTCAAAGATTGGACCAACAGAAAAAGGAATAATCATTAGTATTTTATCTAGTAAATATAATCATATGTGTATATACACATACATTCACCTATAGACAGGATTGTATTCAGAATCATGCATGCTGCATCCTGAGCTGTGTTTTGATTAAGATTTTCACTTATCTATACTCCATTATGATGTCTAGTCTAATGTTCAGGACCCCCTCAGAAAACAAAAAACAAAAACAAAAACAGCATTCTCAAAAGGGCTTCCTGCAGGAGACTTTACAGAAAGAATAGTTTGCAAAGGGGTATGGGAAACAATAAGGCATTGCAAAGCACCCAGCTCCACAAGACTTCAAGGAACTTGTGTTAGTTCCCCATGAGAGAACTGAGTAACTATAGTCCTGTTCTTTTATTTCCTGCCAATGTCTCCACTGGCTGAACTTATTTGGAGGCCATATGTGGAGAGCACTGGGTTGGTATCGTCCCTATAGTGAGATCAGTGTCCTAAGACACAGAGAAGGGCCGGAAAGAACAAATAATATAGTTGTAGATGGGAGACAATATGCTGTAAATGGACAATAGGGATACACCTCTAAGGCAGCCTTGTGTAAGAGTAAATCCATGGTCTCTTTATAGAGAGTACTATGAAATTTGTTATCTACTCCAGCTCCCTACCTATGCAATGAGTATGCTCAACATCTCAGTGTACATTTAGTATAAGTCAATAACATCAATGTTCAAAAGATATACTGTGGGAACCTCACTATGTGTGTTCCACTGTTTGGCCATTCCTGGAGCAGTGGTTTTTTTCTTGGCAAAGAATGGCAATTAAGAGCATCCAGGGAAGGCAGGTCTTATGGGAATGAGGAGACTGGACATCACATGGGCACGATTGATGGATATGGATCTCTAAACTGAATTTAAAAGGGCCATCAGTGAACTTTGAAAGGCTGTGTTAGAGAAGAGGAATTATATTTACTTGCTGCTATACTACAAAATGACAGAATTGTCCTAGTGACTGGAAATTCCAGGGAAGCAGATTTTTGTTCAACATTAGAAATGCAATGAAGCTGTGTGCGGCAGCACATGCCTGTAATGCTAGTGACTGTGGAGAAGGAGGCAGGAGGATCACAAGTTCAAAGCCAGGCTTAGCACCTTCGCAAGTTCATAAGTAACTTAGTATGATCCTGTCTCATATTAAAAAATAAAAAAAGGGCTGAAGATATGAGTCCGTGGTTAAGCACCCCTAGGTTCAATATCTGGTACCAAAAATTTTTAAAAAAATTATAAAAAAAGAAATGCAATGAAAATAGTTAGAAAATTTTGAAAATTGTTGTATGATACCTGTATATGGAGACAGAGAGTTCATATTTTTCTATAATTAATGCTATAGAAATACATTCTTAAGGTTGATGAACTCTAATTTCACATCTTCTAGTCATTATAGAAAGGCTATGTAGTAAAAATTGTCAACTTATAATAAAATATAAATATACAATTCATCATTTGAGTGCTATGTATTAGAAATAAGAAATATAGATACAGGGGATAATGAAATATAAAATAGTAAAAATGGCAACTATATACTTAATGAAATTAACATAAGATTTAGCTATGGATGTACTAAAAGCCCTGGAGGGAAAAGAGTACCATTTAACCATCATCAGGAGAACATACACTCGATTTTTAAAGGAAGCACATTTTTTTTCCATAAAACTTTTAAGATTGTACATGTAATATATTTTTTTAAAATAGCAGATAATAAAATAGCCATGGTCAATTTATTGATGTTCAATACTATAAGCCATTATAAGTACTGAGTATTAATAGCACAAAGTAACAGAAAAATCAGTCATCATCATTATATCAGAATATCAGGTAGAGTATTAGGAGAATATGGGATAACGGGGATTTAGAAGATGAGCAGAAATTGGAAAGGTAGAGAAAAGAGGACATTTTTTTCTATAAGAGAAAAGCAAAGGCAGAAGACAAAAAGCAATAGATGATAAAATAGAGGCAGACTAGAGTAGGGATGTGGGCTCTGAGATAGTGCAGGACTAGGCCTGAGCAAGAGATTCCATAGCTGGGCTGCTGGGTTCTGTTTCCACAGGTAGTAGGTGGGTCCCGAGCTGCTCACCTGCTCTCTGCCTTCACCTTGAGATTTCACTGGGAGTGAGGGCATGCCGAAACCAGCAAGGTTGTCAGTGACTATTTGGAATACGTTTAAAGAGGTGATAATAAAGAATGAATATCATTAATTTCAGTGAACTAAAGTATGTAAAAAGCTTTATTTGCTAAGGTTAACCTAAAGCTACTTTTTTTTTAAGGAAGAAAAATTCTCTTACTCTAATCTTAACTTCATATTTAAATATATGCCAAATAGTTTTTTAAAGCTGTTCAATAAGAGACATCTAAATTTCTGTGACATTTCTTTAAATCCAGTGTTGGTAACAATGTGTTCTTTCTTTCCCTAAGTCTCCTTCTAAGTGTGCTTTCAGGCAACCATTACCTTGGCAATCCCCTTCTTTCTACTTCAAAGTGCACATTGGAAGAGACAGAGAGCTTATTAGAGCTTCTAACCTTTCAGAGGATGTCAAACAGCTATTTTTCTCTTACTCTTTCATTCCTGATCTTTACCATCCTTGTTATTATCCAAACAAACATCATAATTTCAGCTAGGAAAGGTACACTTGAATGGGAGGGAAGGAGAGCAATGAAAAATAAGCAAAGTTTAAAATAGAAAGGATTCAACTGGAAAAAAATTCTTTATTCTCCAATAATTATATCCATTTGCAATGCTGTGGCTTAATATGAGTGATACTTGTTGCATATTAATAGTTTTATACTTAGAGTAGAAAACTATATCATCTTTCTGTAAAATAATGGAGATAACGTGTGGCAATACTAACAAAGTATTTCTTTTGAATTAAAATTTAATATATCTGGTAAAGAAGGCGTTTTTAAAATTAAAAATCAACAAAAATTGCCAACAAACAAAAACTTGTCAGCAGTTTCTATATACTAGCTGCTCTTTTTAGTAACGTAGATATATGGAACTATTTAATCCTTATAACTATTCTTAGCGATTAAGAAACAGAACTTGAGTTTAGAATACCAGGATTATTCTTCTCTTGAGAATGTTCATTAAAAATTGCCAATAAATATGATAGTAACCTTACAATATCTAGTACAGTGTAAGCCCTGCACAAGGATGATATTAAAAGTCAGACTTTAACATTTAACATAATAGAAACCAGATTTTAAGACTATATTGCATACATTTGATTGTATCAACCTTCAGAATTTTTCTCTATGGATGGTAGTCAAAGATGTGCCTTGTATTTCTCATGCTTTGTATTTCTCATTGAGCTTCTGCCATTCTGTGTGTCTGATAAATATAAGTTTTGCTCACTCGGCTCCTCTGCTTTGACTTGTACTGATTTCCATAGCATTTGCCTGTTAATTTCAATTTTATATTACTTAACCCCCATAAATGCGTTTAACTTTCTGTAATATACATTGGAAACTTTTAGAATTTTTGTATTAATCAACCAATGTATCTTTGGATTAATTAAAAGACCAGGTTACTCATAATAAGTTTTAATTCATAAAATAATGTGAATAACATGAGGATATACTTCTGAAAGCCACTGCTTTCAGAATAGATTCTTGCATTTCTGGGACTGAAATTTTTTATGTATATACTTTTTAATTTTAGATGGACACAATAGCTTCCTTTATTTATTTATTCATTTTTATGTTTTGCTGAGAATTGAACCCAGTGCTTCACATGTGGTTCAGATGTACCTCTCTGAGCTACAATCCAGCCCTGTGATTGAAATTTTACCATCCTATTACCTCAATTACTTTCCCTCACCCCTGAATTCTCATTAATGCAAAAACATGAGTTCTGCATTTGAAAATTCATGTTTCCTAGACCTTCATAAAATTATCTCAAGTTCCTTAATAAGAGCAGATAATGTGACTTAAAGCAATAAACACAGTGTGGCTCTGTTAGAACAAATATTGGGACAGAATAAAGTGTCCACAACCATGTTTAGAAATTACTATAAATATAGCACTAATTAATTAAAAATAAGTTTTTGCATTAGGAGAACTCAGATACAAAAATCACCAAATACACTGTTTTATAAGGCATTTTAGTTGTAAAAAAAAAAAAAAGAGAGAGAGAGAGAGAGAGAGAGAGAGAGAGAGACAAAAAAGAAAAAAAAATGCTTCTTCATGTTATATTGGCTACTTATTTATGTTCTAAACCAATTATTAAAATATATTACAATTTGTAAAAATTAAGAAGCTTTTGTGATCTGAAAATGTCTTCCCTAAGGGAAAAAAAAAACAATACCTGGCAAGTAAACAAAATAAAGTTTAATTTTTCAAGAAAAGACAAAACAAAGCAATGATCTACAACATAATTAATGTTAATTTGGCAAAAGTTTTTTTAAAAGAGATCAAATTTTGTGAGGCTACAATAAAATTTCAGTCTCTTCAATTGTTGATGATAGTGTAAAATGGCACCACCTTCTGTATCAGATTCTGTGATACAGTCAATGACAATGGACCTTTAGGATGAAGACCTGACTGGGACATGAATGTTTGTTACTAGGAAGTACAATCTTGGGGAGTATTTATTGTTTAAAGATTGCATATGTACATACATATCTATGTATATAGACATATAGAGACACAGATAAAGTGATCATATTTGCTGATTTTTCATATTTCTTGCAATTTTCCAGATTTCCTCCTCAAGTACCATTAATGGAACGAAGAGACTACATACTTGTTAAATGTGTGTGTGTGTGTGTGTGTGTGTGTGTGTGTGTGTGTGTGTATGTACTTATATATAAAGTAGTTTGGAACTTATGAAAATGTTTCTGTTTTCTATCTGTAGGCATTGATCCTTGTCAACAATAAAATTAGCAAAATAAGCCCTGGAGCATTTACACCTTTGGTGAAGTTGGAAAGACTTTATCTGTCCAAGAATCAACTGAAGGAATTGCCAGAAAAAATGCCCAAATCCCTTCAGGAGCTTCGTGTCCATGAAAATGAGATCACCAAAGTGAGAAAAGCGGTGTTCAATGGATTGAACGAGATGATTGTCATAGGTACAGATATTCTTGAAACTTGAAGACCAAGGCACCAGGTGGACCTTAGAGATATCAAGTATTCTTTAGCTGCAGGAAGGTGAACCAGCTGGAGCCTGTGTGCCTGAAATCTACATGGTGTAGAGTAGCAGGGCCCGGGGAAATTGGACTGAATTTGTACTTTACAACATTTTTCTTTCTTGATTTTGAGGATCTGAGGATGTAGAGGAGATCTAAGACTGAAGTTACCTTGCTGTGTGCTTAATGTGCAGGATGGACTTAAGTAGTGCGTAATTAGAAACATTTTTGTGTAGGGATTTGCCATATCCTGAACGTTCATAAATCATTTGCTTTAAATATTATGTTATAACATTTTGCTAGAAGGATGGTCAAAATATATATAATTATATAACCAGTTTGCAAAAAAAAATAGATTCAGATATTTTTGGCAACACTTTAAAGTATCTTAGAAAAGAAATAGCATAATGTATGATTTATAAACACTTTTTTTAATGTCAGCATTTTCTGAAAAAAAAGAAAAAAATATTAGATACTTGGTTGCGATTCTTTTTTTGTTTCATATGTCTCTGGTTTTTATGGTTTGATTTTTGCTTGTTTTCGTAATGGAATGTATTATTCCACTTTGCTATTCTTCTGAAGAACATGTTCTTTTATTTCCCTTTTGCTTTCCCATTGTTATTAACCCAAATTTCTTTCTAGAAGCCTGATAGAAAGAGATACTATTCTGACTTATAATATCCTAAAATTCCCTCTAAAATCCTGCACTTTTCACACTTGTAGAACTGGGCACCAACCCGCTGAAGAGCTCAGGAATTGAAAATGGAGCCTTCCAGGGAATGAAGAAGCTCTCCTACATCCGCATCGCAGACACCAACATAACCTCCATCCCACAAGGTGACAGAAACCCTCCCAAACATTCTGAAACGCCTAAGTCCAAGGGATTTGATATTTTAAAAAAGTGGATGTGGACACTTAAATTGTGACTCAAGTAACCAACCTTATTTATGGTAAATACTCTATCCCTACAACGGGTCCTGTGGAGCCTGGGTGACTCTGAGACTATCCAGGCTCATTGTAAGGATGGAGAGATTCCTTAAAATGTCCTTTCTACAATGAAAAAATAAACAATGAATTTATATTTGTAATTGTGATATAACAAGGAAATAGTGGAGTTATTTTAAAAATAAACTGAATGCTTTGGTACTTTGTTTTTAAAAAATGATACGTAGAAGTACCTCTGGAACTGAGACACTTTTTAATTTGTGTCTCCAATTCCTTAGGGAATTCTTTCCATTGTAGGATTTTCCAGTCCTTAATATCTGAAGGGAATCACCACTCTTATTTTGATACCATTGGTTGTAAAAAGTGTGGATTTCAGAATCTGTTTGCTTGAGTTCAAGTTGTCATTGACTCAAGGACCCTTAATTACTTCATCCATAAAGTGAGAACAATGTTAATATATACCAGAATGGGTTGTTTTAAAATTAAATAGATAATCAGAAAAAAATCTGGCATTTAGATAAGTAGGGACTAATGTTGTCTCCTATTATTCAAAAAATGTTTTCAACCTTCACTTGGCTTAGACAATGTACAGAATATTGGTGACAGAATGGTGAATAGGAGATGCTATCTACATTTAGCAACCAAAAAACAAACAGCAATCACCACAGTCAGAGTAAGCTCATCCTGCCTTTTTCTTGATCTAGGTACAAGATATAGGTACTTATCTGCAGAAAACACCAATTTTACGTTATTGCATCTTCAGAGAAACTTTAATTTCTGAGAGTACATACACCATAGAAGCTTTATTACTACCACTTGTTCTATCTACAGTCATCTCATACAGAGCATGTTTTGGGTGCCCTTAAAAGTAACTGCTGGGGTGGACAGATGGATGAACAGATAGCTATTTCAATTTAAAGTTTACAAGCCATGTTCTTGCTGAGTAACTTGCTGCATCTAACAAATGACTTTTAAAAAGAAAATCACCAGTGGCTCCATATCCATAGGTTCAACCATCTATGGATCAAAACAATTTTTTTAAAAAATTTTCATCTAAAATATGTGCTTTTTTTACTCCCTAAACAATACAATATAGCCACTATTTATGCATCATTTACATTGTTTTTTATAAGTAATCTAGAAATGATTTAAAAACAAGAGGATTCATGTAGTATATACAAAAATTCTATATCATTTTATATAAAGGCCTTGAATTCCAGCAAATTTTGGTTCATAGTAAGGTCCAAAAAAAAATCCCCTAAACCCCTACAGATACTCAAGGACACTGTGTACACACACCAGACAGAAACAAATATACACATACACACACACACACACACACACGCACACACGCACGTAAAAATATATAGATGCAGATTAATATATCTGACCAAAAGGCATACTCATAGGAGGTGAAGCAGCTGGAATTTCCCCATCACTTCATGTTGCCATAAAAATTTTATTAAGCATTTTCTTTGACTTTGTAATCCCTCCTGATACCTCCTATAAAATATCCCTAAGTGACACCTTTCATCAATGATATGTTTTCTTTTACTGTCCTAAATTTTCTTTCTCTCCTGCTTTACTCTTTTTCTTATCATTTCTGGCTTGCTTTTATTTACTATTTTATAATAATATAGAAGTTGTAGTAACTACATTGTATTAAGCACTTGCTGCTAGTATCATGCCAAACACTTTTCATGGAATCAAAAAACATCCCTATATGGTAGTATCATTCTTGTTCTGTAAATGAGGACAAAATGAGTCTTAAAGAAGTGAAATAAATTGTGAGCAATGTCATAGAGTTAGGAGGAAGTATCACAGTGAGATTCTCTGGGCTGTATTAGAGTTCGTGTGATTAACTACTTTACTCTCTTGCCATCCACCATATTTATGTTCTGCATATTTATGTCTATCTAAAATAAGAATCTACTGTTAGACTGGGCCTCTTATGCCTGCCTGCTTATTATCCATGTCCTGATTATAGTTTCTCCCACTACTTATTGAAATGTAAAGGTGGGATAGTGTAGTAATTATAAAATCTAAATTGAATAAAAACAACACAGTGAGAGAGATCTCAGCCACTTAGCAATTCTTCAATTTTGCATTAATTGTTCATTTCTCTAAAAACATCAGTTTTTCTAACTATAAAATGAAGGTATTAATAAAACCTACTTTCTAGGATTATTACCTAAAGTAATATTTATATACATATAGTACCCACACCTGAGTAATCTTCATTTATTTTTATCTCATAAAACAAGGAAAAGGAAAAGAATTAATAAAAGTAACTGGAGAATATGTTTTCTCAGTCACATGCCATAGAGGCTAAGTGTAAGAAGAGTGTGTATAAATTTGTCTTTCTCTGTCCTGTTGCAAAGGTTTTTCCATAGACAAACTTCTTCCTGGTTCTAACTTTATTTTGGGGAAATCAACACTAAAAACGGAAGACACTAAGAAACCAAGAGGAAGTAATAGCTGTGGGATAAATGGTGCACTAGAGGCAGAAATCTTTTCCTGGTGATAAAAAAGAAAGAATGTTTATTTAGTTGCTTTGATATATATATATATATATATATATATATATATATATATATATATATATATATATATAAAATTGCTTTTCTCAGAGGATAATGTAAAAATATAAGTGCATTATTCTAAGGAGAATTAAGTGGTTTAAATCCTTTATTGTCAAAATGGCTACAATTCCCTAGATTCTATTCATAAGAAAAATGCAATTGTTTTTTCATTTCCTCTAGTTAACAACAGGCTATTTTAACTTCCTTTGGCTATCTGGGATCATATTCTACTCTTTACTGAAGATACAGATGGCCTACAAAATCTGTAATTTTGAATCTCTGTTTCCTCACTTATGACAAGGGATTAATTATCAATAGTTTATACAGTGAGGGAATAATGAAATTGAGTTAGGACAAGTGCCATAGCAAACACACTTATTTCCTTAGCATCTTCCAAAAAAAAAAATTTCCTTAGAGAAGCATATTCATATATTCATTTTTTGGTCAAATACAGAAAAAAATTATTGCATTAAATAGAAAATATTGACATAATTCAGTGGGATGTAATGAAAGTTTCACATCAAATGTAACCTGTGATTTTCCAAACTGATATCTTTATAGGCAAATATGCAAGACATTTTGCAAGTCAGATTTTATTTGTTCATGTAACAGATTTGCTATTTTTTTAAGTTCTTGCTATTCTTTTAAGTGGAACAATGTGCTATGTAAAAAGCTGTATAAAAACACAATATATCCTCAGATGGCATGAGGAAATGAAAATAAAATATTTAAACTTTTATATATATACTACTCAGTCTTTGGACATTATAACCATTCCGGAAGTACTATTCCAAGACTTAGTGGGCATATTGGATCTTAAATTATTTCTCCAGGTGCTCTACATATGGCAGATGACTTGGTTATAGGCCTGTGCTTTCTTCTCATATAAAGAAATGGTCTTGATTTAATACATTCAAGTAAGCTTTAGCTCTTTCTACACAACCAGATTTCAGGGACATTTGGTGATTTTTATGGAAAGGTTGGTAAGTGTAAGACCACCATAGCTTATCATTGTGGGTTATTAATGATTCTCATTAATGAAATGCTTAGTTAAATTTACATATATACTTAACCAATACATCACCCCTTTGTTATATTCAAATACTCATCTTTTTTATTTTATGATGTATCTCTTTTATCGGTGGCAGTGTTAGCCCATTAACAAAGATAGAAAAGAATAGTGAGTTTCAATGTTTGATTGCACTTTTGCCATTGCTGGTACAATTATCACGTGACTAGAACATTTTCTCATTTTGTTGAGTCCATCTAGGAGAAAAGTAGGAAGGTTTTCTACTTTTTTTTTCCATTTATCAAAATGCCTTTAGTTTAGTTTTTTTTTTTTATAAAGGAGGAAATGTTTATTTGGGGGCTTACTCTTTCAGAGGTCTCAGTCCATAGGTAGTTGGTTCCATTCCTTGGGGCTAGAGGTGAGGCAGAAGATCATGGTGGAAGAGTGTGGCAGAGTAAAACAGCTCACATGATGATTAGGAAGCAGAGAGAGAATCCACTTGCCAGATATAAAATATATACTCCAAAGGCATGCCCTCAATGACCCATCTCCTCCAGCCATACCCTACCCACCTTCAGTCACCACTCAGTTAATCCCATCAGGGGGATTAATTCACTGATTGGACTAAGGGTCTCATAACCCAATCATTTCTCCTCTGCACCTTCTAGCATTGTACTTTCAAAAGCATGCATCATTATAAATGGGATGAAGGAAAAATATGAAAAGCAGAACTAATTCTTCAAACCTCATTGTATGTTTAATGGCATAAACTCTCATTGAGTCTTTCTACATTCTGTACTTAGGTTTATTTGCTAAGTCAACATTTCACGTTTCTATATTCCAGGCCTTCCTCCTTCCCTCACCGAATTACATCTTGATAACAACAAAATCACCAAAGTGGATGCAGCTAGCCTGAAGGGACTGAATAACTTGGCTAAGTAATAATCTTTTCTCATTACTCGTTATCAGAACAATTGACTAGGCATAATCAGTGCCTGCATTCTAGAAGATAGAAACAGGATGATTGGTTTTTATTTAATATTTGCTACACTTTATTGTTGTTTCCAACAAATTCAAACTTTGGTGTATATGATTATTTTTTGAGAAAAAAAATCAATGAAATAGAATGCCTACTATAAACACCAACCTTGACCTTGCATTTTGTGAATACTGTATAGTTTTAGGTATTACATACCGGGTATTTTATTAACAGATTTTATTTAAATGTGTTTATTCAATATATTCTAACTTGGTATCAAGCTGAAAGTTAACAAAATTGTAAGTGTCCCAAATACAAAAATGCTGTAAAATGAACATTACCAAAATCTAGAAATGTTGAACATCCCACATATCACTGCTAGAGTGCTTATATTGAAATTCTCTAACCTCCTGTTCTCCAAAGTTTATAATAAAATGCATCTGCACATTAAATGTAGGCCAACTAGAAATTATTTTTTTATTATTTTGGGTGGTATTCTTTAGCCTTCCTTAACTTTGTTTCTTTCTTTGTGAATGATCACTAGTGTCTGCTTCCTAACTTCAGTCTCTGTACATTTGCACTCTGGCTAATTATAAAAAGAGGAGAGAGCTGGCAAACTCTGAGAATACTCTGTTCTTGATACGCATACATTGCTGAATGTCCTTCAAGAGTATATTCCCACCATGGCTTTATGCCAAATCAACTCACTCCTCTCTTTACATATAAATTTCATGGGAGATAAAAATACATAACATGCATCATTTTATCTTTGATAAATATCTAAGTTCAAATAGATGTTTAAGGTGGCTTTTCCCATTTCTGTGGATAACACCCAGTGGAGTGGGCTGAAGATAAGCACATGCATGTGAATAGAGCTGACATATATTAACCCCAATGTCTCAAATAACAAGAAAAGCTTCATTTAGACCTGTTTGAATGCTATTCACTAATGTAGAAAACATTCTTCACAGTAGTATTACACATCACCTACCTGTATTTGTAGATCAGGTCCCCCTAACTACAGAAATGTATATTCAGATAAACTGCATTATTTATCAAGATCATTATTATTGGATTATTATAATTATTGTTGTTGGTGGTGGTAGTAGTAGCAGTAATAGTAGTAGGGAAACAATATTTTAAAGTTCAATATATAGTAAATGAATCATTATAAGTGTGCTTTTTTTAGAAAAAAAAGAATAAATTCATTTTTTACTAAAAGTGGTAAGGAGATTTTAAGATTCTCCACTTGAACACTGATTTCATATGCTTTGTATCAAATACAAAATACAAAAGAGCTAATAAATATTGAAAATGTCAACAGAAATTTATATTTCTCTTCAAATGAATTTTGAATTCCATTCATTGCCTTATTGGCCAAGCAAACATTATAATTTCTTGAATTCATTGAACATATTTTTTTTCAGAATCAAATCCAAAATCTTTTGATTAAGCCATGAAATAATTATGTTGTTTATTGCTTACTTATGTTAGAACAAGAAAAGTATTTTGATGTTGAAAATGAAAATGGTGAAATGAAAAAAAAAAAAAAAAAAAAAAAACAGCCACTGACCACAGAGCATTGTTTTAGGGTAAAGGTTACCATTTGTAATAAAGAATAAATTTGGAGAAATCAATGCATGCCCTTCATCAGAAGCATGAAATTATTTATTTATTTATTTATTTATTTATTTAGATACATAGGTAGGTAGTTATATACATGCATGCATACACCATCATCACCTTTACTAAATGAACTATTCCTTGATGATAAAAATAATTTTTGAACTATTTCACCTCATCATTTCTACAGTAAAATCATGCATATACTGTGTTCTCAAAACTACTTTTTTGAAGATTGGGGATGTGGCTTGATGGTAGAGCACTCATACAGCATGTGTGAGATTTCCCAGTACTATAAAAAAATGTTGATTGAATAGATAAATAAATGGTTAAGTAATGATTTGTGTTATGAAAATCTTCCTTGAATAACTTCATGAGGAATGCTCTATTCTCAAATTTAATATTGGGACTTGGAGTTCTGCAAGATACAATAGACACAATTCTGGAATAGAAAAGGAAAGGTCAAAAAGAAGACAGGAATGTTTCAAGACTGAGTGTAAAACAAACTTTTCTGAGCCAAGATGCCAGCTTAATATCAATAGCTAAGACAATGCAGTACTGCTATTAATAATAGCCTAAAAGCAGTTAACCTTAACCCTTATTTCAAATATCAATCCGTGATTAAAACTGGAAAATTTTGATACCTAAACCAGCATCTGAATTCTGAAGGAGCTCAAATCAGAACTAGCTGGAGCGTAGGAGAAACCATCCGTGGACAATGACTAGATCTCTTCCTTTGCACTTAGGAAATCTGACATACTGTCCCTCACCCTCCTTGGAGTGTCTGTCTGCCTGTCATTCTCTCTTTCTCTCTCTCTGTGTGTGTCTCTCATGTGTGCGCGTGTGTGTGTGTATGTTTCTTTATTTTGCTGTCTCATACCTGGTATCTTCTGTCTGCCCTTTGATTGACATCACTTTGCTTTTCATTCCCAGAGTATTATACAAAATATTCATGTCTCTAAGTCAACCTCTCCTGGCCTTGAAATCCGTGAAGGGACATTGCAGAACCCCCACATATTATGCATTTAATTTTTTTAAAACTAGGAACCAAGACTTTGAGTGAATTAAATTTGAAGGAACTTGTATTAGGAATGTCAAAAGGGGCAAGAGAGGGAGATCTGAGTCAGAGACCTGGGTCAGAAGCAAGAATGCTGGCAGCAAAGCAGAGTTTGAAACTATTAGATGGTCAATGAGGAATATTTTTGATCTAGAAAACTGAAATTTTCTAGAAGGTGGGTTGTCAACTTTTTAGAATTTGGCACCTTTTATCATCTGTGAATAAATTTATATGATAAATGCACTGTAGCTCCATTTTCAAAAAAACAAATTGGTTGCGCCATTTCTGTTGGTTCTCTCTCAAATGAATTTAATATGTTCATTACCCATGGAAATCCATTTTGTAGCTATTTTTGAGCATGGCAAGCACTACGTTAATTACCATAAGGTAGTTACTGTTCCAAAGGAGAGGTATGCACGTCCACAGGCCTTTAGAATACAGAACACAGTCTGTTATGTAATACAAGCAGTTGACCACAGGATGCTACAGAGCATTTAAGAGAGGTGCCTGTCTAATCTTGTTCTGTTAGAGGAGTCTCAAAGAAGGTAACACTGAGCCATTAAGAATAATGGGCTTTGTGTAAGTTCAGAGAGATCAGATAAAGCATTGTAAACAGTGGGAATAATACAACAACAAAACCAAAAAATGCCCTTTTCTATTTACTTGCCTAATCATACAATGCCTGCACAAAAGACACCTGTGTTGGGGTATGTGTTCATTTCTGCTTTGCTTTGCAGGTTGGGACTGAGTTTCAACAGCATCTCTTCTGTGGAAAATGGCTCTCTGACCAACACTCCTCACCTCAGGGAGCTTCACCTGAACAACAACAAGCTTCTCAGGGTGCCTGGTGGGCTTGCAGAGCACAAGTACATCCAGGTGATGCATAAGCAAATACTCACTGTGAGGGATTCAGAGAGCAGACCCTCCCTCCTGGAGGCTGGGAGGCAGGAGGATCTGGTTAGACATGGTTTCTACAATGTTACCGTCAGCTAAGCTGCTGTACCAAGTCACCATAAACTGGGTGGCTTAAACAGCAAACACTCATTTCTCACTGTTCTAGAGGCTGGAAGTCTGAGATCAGGGTGCTTTGCATATTACATTCTAGTGAGGGCCCTGTTCCAGGTTGGAGAATGCCAACATAACATTCTGTCCTCAAGTGACAGAAAGACAACTAGCCAGCTCTATGGCCTCTTCTTATAAGGGCACTAATACTATTCATCAAGGCTCCTCCCCCATGTCCCAATGACCTCCCTAAGGCCTTACCTCCTAATACCACCATGTAGGATTAGATTTCCAACACATGAATTTGGGAGGAGATACAAAATTCAACCTGTTTCTCAGAAAGACATATTTAATATTTCCACATAAATATTCATTTTCATTTTGTCAAAGAAAAAAAAACTTCGAAATTACTATTTTTAAATTAGTGCTATTCTTTTGAACACACTACAATGCTCGCTGTGAAGATACAGCTTATTATGAAGCAGCATCATTTCCAGGCACTGATCAGTGTAACAAATGCACATTGTTGCACAGGATGATATAATCACTGATACACTGACATGAACTAAAAATAGTAGTTTTAGCTTTTATCTTCAGCAGATATGATATCGCTTAACAAAGAATGTTTAGCTAGTAGTATAGCTGAATTAACTATATAGAAATTACCAAATTATAGTGCTTAATAAGAATAAGAGGATAAGGGTCAGTGGTCCACTTTAATGATAGTGTTTTCCATTCTGCAAATCTACAAATTAAAGTAAAGCTTATCAGTTTAAGTAGTGATAATAATTTTATACATATATAAATTTCATCATTACTTTGAAAAAATAAGTTATTCAAACATTCAATTAAAAATTCAATATTGCTTGTAAAATTTATATATATCCTTGTTTTATCTAATTTTTCAGCTTTTTAAATTGAGTTTCTTTCAGAAGTTTACATAGGTACTTAGGTCTGTCATGGTGAATCAGAAACACTATCTTGACACTTTTTTTATTGTCAAGTCATTTTATACAGTTGCCCTTTTCAAAATCTAATATCTAAATTTTGCTTGGGGTTCAAGATACATTAATCTTTTATTCTAATATAAACAATGTAAATAAATTACAAGTCACTTATTATTGATTTGTGACAAAACTCCAATTTAAATTGACATAGGCCAATTTATACTAACTCAATTTCTATAACATGTTTTATAAATAGGAAGATGAGACTTAAAATAAACATTTCTCTCTTTTTTTTTTTTTTTTTTTTGGTGCTGGGATCAAACCCAGGGCCTTGTGAATGCTAGGCAAGCACTCTACCAACTAAGCTATAGCACCAGCACCTAAAATATTTCTTGATGGTTGATTTTTTTTTTCAACAGGGTCTTTGGTGATGCTGGAACAAGTAATAGGCAGTATTAAGTAAAAAAAATGCTTCAAAGACTTAATAAGACTAGATATTGTTTCTACTAGTTCTTTGTTGCTGTTGAGTTTTTGCTTGCTTATGTCTTTATATCCTTGCATGATCATTTTCACATTCTTGATTCCTATTTTTCAAGTGTCAGGCAGGACACATTATGAACTTCATAAGTTTTAAGTTCATTAGGAACATTTAAAGAATGCAGTAGACTAGAAAACAGCTGATCACTGTATCATATTTTTTTCATATGCACAGATGCATACATGCTAAACTTCCAAACATAATGCATTTATTATTTATTGTGAATCATAGAGAAAAATCATGAATGGAATAGAGTGAAGCTCTCTCTGATAAGAAAAGATTGATCACATGAGCTAAGTGCCTACAGATGTCTTGTAGCTTATTCCAAGTGGAGGAAGCCTGTGTTTGATAACCTGCAGAGGAACCATAGTTCCTAGTAGTAGAACAGCAAGTTGACAATTATGATTGGTTGATCAGTGAAGGGAAATGAAGTCAGATCATGTAGTATTTGTAGACTATTGTGAGAACTTTGGATTTTTTAACATGGGAAGGGAAACCACTGGAGTGTGGAGGCAAAGAAGATAATAATGTGTAATAAAGTTTTTAAAATAATTTATCTGGGAGGTAAATTAAACCATAAAAGTTAGAAGGCAAAAGATAAAGCAGAAAGAATGACTAGGACAACTTTAATAGTCCAGAAATAGACAATGGCAGTTCAGAGAATGTTGTGCGAGTAGACATGGGAGATCTGGCTGGTGTGTACATTTTGGAGGCTGAGCTAGCAGGATTGTCATGAGGGTATAAAGGATAAGAGGAAGGGAGGCTCATGCATAATGATAAGGATTACAAACTGAGCATCTGGAAGATTGGCATGTTATTTACTGAGAAACAGAAGATGAAGAAGGCAAAGGCAGTTTGAAAATGAAGGGAGAAAGGAGAAGTTTGATTTGTGCACTGCTAAGTTATTCAAACTGAAGGATGAGAATATTAAAAATGAATATTCTTCTTTAAGGCTGAGTAATATTCCATATATATGTATACCACATTTTCTTTATCTATTCACTTGTTGAAGGGCACCTAGTCTGGTTTCATAGTTTAGTATTGTGAGTTGAGCTGCTATAAACATTGATGTGGCTGCATTACTGTAATACACTGATTTTAAGTCCTTTGGGTATAAACCAAGGAGTGGGATAACTGGGTCAAATGGTTGTTCCATTCCTCGTTTTTTGAGGAATCTCCATAATGTTTTCCATAATGATTGCGCTGATTTGCAGTCCCACCAGCAATGCATGAGTGTAACTTTTTCCCCACATTCTTGCCAGCATGTGGTGTTGTTTGTATTCTTGATAATTGCCATTTTGACTGGGATGAAATCTTAAAGAGAAGTTTTCATTACATTTCTTTTAATTGCTAAAGATGTTGAACATTTTTTCATGTACTTCTTCTGGGAAGTGTCTGTTCAGTTCATTAACCCATTAATTTATTGGTTTATTTGCTTTTTGGTTTTAAGGTATTTGAGTTCTTTACATATCCTGGAGTTTAATGCTCTAAGTAAGGTGCATGTGATAAAGATTTTCTTCCTTCCTCTAGACTTTCTCTTGAAGTTATGGTATCTGCCAGTAAATGGATGGAGCTGCAGAATATCATGCTAAGTGAAATAAGCCAATCCCAAAAAACCAAAGGCCAAATGTTTTCTCTGATATGTGAATACTAATTCACAATAAATCAGGGTAGGGCCTAGGGAAAAATAAGAGTTACGTTTGGTAAAGGGAAGTGAAGGGAGGGGAGGAGGTTTGGGGGTAGGAATGATAGTAGAATGAATCAGACATTATTACCCTATGTACGTATATAATTATACAACATGTGGGACTCCAGATCATGTACAATCAGAAGAATGAGAAATTATACTCCATCTATGTATGATGTATCAAAGTGCATTGTATTGTCATGTATAACTAATCAGAACAAATTAAAAAATGAATATTTACATGAAGGGCCTCGAAATATTTAGAAGAAAACAATCATTCTCTCCTGTTTCATGTTGCAGGTTGTCTACCTTCATAATAACAACATCTCTGCAGTTGGAGCAAATGACTTCTGTCCACCAGGATACAATACCAAGAAGGCTTCTTATTCGGGAGTGAGTCTTTTTAGCAACCCAGTCCAGTACTGGGAGATACAGCCATCCACCTTCCGGTGTGTCTATGTGCGCTCTGCCATTCAGCTCGGAAATTTCAAGTAACTCCCAAGAAAACCCTAATTTTCATAACCTGGCAAGATTCTGTTCATGCCATTGCTAAAAAGAAAAAAAGAAAGAAAGCTAGATATTGGAAACTTAACTGTATTGTGGATGTTTTCCCACATGACTTATTATGCATAAAGCCAAATATGCAGTTTAAATAATTGCCTACAATAAAAATAATTTGCCTGACATTTTCAGAATCATTTTTTGAAGTTTTCTGTTGATGTTAACTAAGCTACTATAGGTATTTTTATTTCACCAAGTATAAAATTTGGAGTAACTATATATGTCAAGAATTTAATAAAATGTATTCTTTTAATTTTTAGAAGGAATCAGAGTACCAGTCTTCTGTAATTCATAGGGCAATTGGCTCTTTTGACCTAAAGTCAAAAGCGAAATGCTAATTCTGTATTAATCTGAGTTATTAATGGTAAAGCCTAATTTGAATATGGAAATTCAATACAGGCTGTGTCAAAGTTTTGCTAATGTCATTATTTTAAAGAAAATAAATTAAAAATGCATTCAAAAATTGATATTGTATAAAAGCTTAATTGTAAACATCTCCTAGACTCAATTTTCTGAATAGCGTTATCAACAACAGCACAGATTTTTAAGTTCTTGGTCACTTCTTCTATCCATTTTTGATATTTGGGTATGGCACCTGTTTACAAGTCAGCTTTTTCACTGTTGTGACTAAGGGACCCAACCAGAATTATATAGAGGAGGAAGAGTTTATTTGAGGGAATCATAATTTCAGACATCTTAGTCCATAGAAGGCTGACTCCATTTCTTGGGGCTCAAGTTAAGGCTGAAAATCATGGTGGAGTGTGTGGGAGTGGGAAGCAGTTCACATCATGGTGATCAAGATGCAGATGCAGAGAGAGAGAGACCCTATTTACCAGATAGAAATATATACACCAAAGCCATGCCTCAATTTCCACCTCCTCCTGCCACACCCTACCACCTTATTTAATCTCATCAGGGATTAACTCACCAATTAGACTAACCTGCCTGAACATTTCTACAGTTACTAGATATGGTAGAAATATTCATTGCCTTCAGTTAACCACTGAATTTAGAAACTCTTTTCAGTAGGATCTGGAAACATCTATCAAAGCAGCCCATTAAACAAGCCCAGAGGATGGGTTGATTTACTAGGAGTAATTATCAAATAATACATCTATATTACCAACATCTAACAAGCAAATTTGTGAACACAGATTCTTATACAAAACTGGATTGTTTTTTTGTCATTGCAGATCCCATAAAGAAACCCAAACTGATTTAAAATATAAATGGGAATGCAAAATAGTTGTGCCTTCAGATGAGCCTTCAAGTATAGTATGATCAGAACTCTAGCCAAATTTTTCTGCCATTCCTTCAAACTTTCTCCTTCTTTTCATTGTCTGACTGGTTTTCCTCATGGTTCTATAACATGAATCCACATCTCTTATTTCCCCACTCTGAACAGAAAATCATACTATCTTAAGATTTATAGGAGTATCCCTGAGTTTTTCCCTAATTATTATATACCATCACCAAAACTTCATAGAGCAAATATTACAAATGCTATTTTGCAAAGAGGTAAACTGAGATGAGAAACTGAATAACTTTTCCACAGTCAAATACCTGGAGCTGGCACTAGTGCTATAATCTTGCACAAGTTGGAATGTGTTGGAAAACGTAATTAAATTTGGAGGGTTACAATTAAGAAAATTTAATGAAGGAATTATTCTAGAGTGTAGACAGAGTTTACTATACAAACAAGGGATGGTGAGGTATCCAGAGATTGGCTATGATGGGAAGCTGTTCCTATCCATATGGCAGAATGGACATCAAAGGAGACCACCTGGAACCAAGTGAAGATGGAAGATCTCTAAGCCCAGACAGCCTTGATTCTGCACAGCATGCAACATCTGCCACTTGTGTAATACTTAAGCAGGGTACCTTAGTACTTTGTTTCACTTCAGATCACCTGCTGGTGCTTCCACTAATCAAATCCAATAAAGAGATGAACATCAAGAAATCAGGGGGTTAGGGCTGGGGATGTGGCTCAAGCGGTACCGCGCTTTCCTGGCATGCGCGGGGCGCTAGGTTCTATCCTCAGCACCACATAAAATAAAATAAAGATGTGTGTCCACCGAAAACTGACAAACAAATATTTTTAAAAAATTCTCTCTCTCTCTCTCTCTCTCTCTTTCTTAAAAAAAAAGAAATCAGGGGGGTAAGGTGAGGGAGAGAAAGGAGAAAAATGGATCTGTTCAGACATATGGAGAAGAACCAGTAACTAAGATGGCCCAATGAGTTCTTCAAGCCACAGATAAGACTACACTTACATCATTACTCGGAGGGTTGGAGAGGAAGGGAGAGGCCATGGGGTTATTAATGCACTCCCATTATAGGCTCTTACAGACTTTTCTGCAGTGATCTGAGGTACAAATCAGTTTTTTTTTAATTTGATAAAAAGTTGTCAAATGTTTAGCTGAATCTTGTTTTTCTTTATGAAACATCGGGCTGTTTTTAAAATGACTATGACTAAAGAAGAGTTTTGAAATGCAGGTGCCATATAAATAATAACATTTATACTGTTGATACTATGTATCAACTGTTGACATACAAAATTTTATTAGTATTTACAGTAAACCTATGGACTATATGTGGATGTTTAATATCCTTTTTTTCAGATGAGAAAAGTGGGTCTCAGAGAGCTCAAATAATTTGCCTATGGCCCATAATACAAGCAAGAAAGACAGACTTTTCATCAGTTCATTGTGTTGGTACTTGATAAAAGAATGCACTCCTGTCTAACAGTTATATATTACAGAATATCTATAGTATTTTCCATCTTCTTTGTAATAATGAGTAGCCCACCAGCCTGAATGAGCACCCTTACATTTGAAAAATGATGAATTTGCTCACAAAAAATTTAAAATATTTTACAATATTAATCAATGTTGCAAAAGTTCCTTATCAACAGTATCCAGTATGGTATAAACTAAAGCACTCATGACTGTTGAGCACTAGAAATGAATTAATGAAGTTGAGAAACTTATTTTAAATTAGTTTAATTTTAATGAATTTGAATTTAAATAACCACTTGAAACTAACTGATATCATATTTAAAGGGCAATTCTATTCACTATCAATTGAATTTAAATATTACTTTCACGGTATTAGAATGGACTTTTGTCCAAGCAAAAATATTTATTACGACTATGATAGACCCTGGGGATATAAAATGAATAAGATTCCATCTTGGTTTAAGATAATAAATATTTAACAGAAAAAATGATAATTAAAATAGAGTAGGGTAATTATATCTTAGAAATATGTTCAAGTTACCGCAATGGCTCAGAAAAGGGGTGATGGGTTTTGCGAAGGGTGGTAGAATGAGTGAAAGGAACAGGGAATACTTCAGAGAGGAGCCAACAGTTTAGGGGTGTTTATGTAGGTACCATGAGAATTCAACAGGGAGATATGGTGGAAAGGGGGAGACTTGAAAGACCCAGGGGAATGCCTGGACATCTTCACAGGATTTTCTCAGTTTCTTTACCTTCTTCTCAAGTACAGACTGTAGTTTACATTTCCATTTGATAAATACACAGCTAAAGAGAACATCAGAGGAAGTCACCATTTTCTTTCTTTCTCTGAATTTGAAGAGGAAGAAGGAAATATCTCTTATGTTCTCTCTTCTCTCTCCTGAAATATTCTATATTCATGTCTGCAGTTTAAAAAGTGTCCTCCATAAGAAGCCATTCGAGAGCCATGATCATTACTGGAATGAATATATGTGTGTGTGTGTGTGTGTATTTTATATATATATATATATATATATATATATATACATATATATATATATATATATATATATATATATATGATGGGTAGAAACATAAGAAGGGAAAGATCATGTTGGATTGTCATCTATCTGTAGGGCAGATCATTCAATACATCTTTTCCATTAGTAAAGCTATTTCTATTTTTATACCACACCAAGAAGACATAGAGGCCTGATTCTTCAGTGACCCTCTTTTGCATAGCAACACAATTTCCTGTTTCATATATATATTCATATGTATGTGTTGTATGTGTGTGCATATATACATATATTTATATTTCTTTTTCTTTTATTATTAGAGCAAAACCTTGTGTGACATGTCTTTCTATCTGTTGTAGCAATGAATGACGTGCTCTCCATGACACAGCCCATCTCTTGAAGGAGTTCTAAGGGGGGAAACCTGCAGTTACTCTGCTGTTTAAATCATGTCCTGTGTATTAATTGTCCTATGTGGAAATAAAAACCTGGGATTTAATAGGTTAAGAATAACTAGGCAACTAGGGGAAAGATGGGTAGAAACAGAAGAAGGGAAAGATCATGTTGGATTGTCATCTGCAGGGAAGATCACTAAATACATCTTTTCCATTAATAAAGCTATTTCTCTTTTTATACCACACCAAGAAGACATAGAAGCCTGATTCTTCAGTGACCCTCTTTTACATAGCAACACAATTTCCTGTTTCTTATGTATCTTTCCTTTGAAAATAAAGATAAACACACCTCATTTTATATTTAGCCTTTCTCTGCCTTATTTTCCTGTCTATAAAATAGTAATAATAATAACAATGCACCTCTTATAGGTTGAAACATGAATTAAGTGAGTTAACATAATGTACAACTCTTAGATCAGACTCCTGCACATGGAAAGGGTTAAAATACATTTGCTTCTATTGCTGTTGGTATTGCCCAGGCAAATAGTTTGGGGGTCAGTCATCTCAAGGGCAATTCTATGCCTCAGGTGCAGACTTAGGTCTGAAATTCTGCATTTCAAATAAGCTCAGAAATGTTGTTCCTCCTTGGTGCATGCCTTGAGGAACAAGGCCACAGTCTTCTCTTTTCTTGTTGAACTATGTCTTTCTCATCTCCTGTTCATTGGCCATTGTGAGAAACCCCTGCTATATGAGATACCCAGGGCTTCTGTCACAAAATACTACCAAGGGATTGCTTCAAAGAATAGATATGTTTTCTTTACATTCTGGAGGTCTCTTTTAGGTTCTGGGTGATTTCCTGGGCTTATGGCAGAAAAACTCCAACCTCTGGCTCTATCTTTCTGTGACCTTCTTTTCTTATATTTCTGTGTCTCTTCTCCTCTCCTAAGCAACTACATGGACAAGGGCTCACTCTAATTCAATATGAGATCATCCTACCTTGATTATATCTGCAAAGACACAATTTCTAATAAATTCACATTCGCTGGGGGTTAGACTTTGAACATCTTTTAGGGAGAGACACAAAGTAACAATAACACCCACTTTCTTTATTCTTTATAAATTTTTCATTTACTTCTTTTTTTATTTGAATTAAATCTTTAATGTGACTGTGTGTGATTTACATCAAAGGTTAGAAACTGAATTTACCTTTGACTCTTTTTGGTCCTTGATACATGTATGCTACACCCAGACTTTACCACTTTCTTAGGTGCTGTCATCTTAGAATATTCAAGTGACCCAAATATTCCGGAACACCATATTTATG